ATAAGAACGCTTCCACACGCCATTCCGCTCTTGGTTGTGGCGTTAAGAGGAGACTCATGAGCTCTACACATGACTTCTGTGCGTTGGCGGAATTCCGAGCGCCATCTTCCTGATTAAAAATTTTCCACAAACAAAATTGACCAGTTTTGGCTTGGGTTGATGTATAGCAAAGACTCAATTTTGCCTTGGATCTGATTCAAAATTGTCAGTTCTAAATATTTGTAACGATGGGATTGTGTTTAGTAAGCGACTGCTTCTTTTGGGAAAGCATCAAAAACTGTACACTGGCGCTTCCATCGTGCGAGTTGATCAATCAATGAAATCGAATGGTCAAAATGAGTTTAGGTGCCGCCGCAATCCTAACCATTATTGTTCCCTTTAGTCGCCAGGGATTTCTATGCGATTTGCTTTATTTTACGATAAAATGTAAGGAATATGGAAACAACCTGCAAAGTAACATTGTGAAAAAATAATTGTTTCTTTTGAAATTTTGGTCGTTCACATTGAAATTAGGGTGAGGTTGGTTATTGTTGTCAAATAATGAGCATTTTATCATTTTATTATCGAAGCATTTATGTGATTTTATCAAGCCTCTACAATACCTTATTGTCTGAAGAGATTAAAAGCGTGAATCGTGTAAAAATATACGAACACGTACTTCTCAAGTGATTATGGAATAAGATCGAATCATACAATATCGTGTTGTGCTCTACTGTGAAATTAATTTGCCTTGAAGTTGAAACTTTGAATAGTTACAAAATCAATGAAAATTGCGAGAAAGGGTTAAATTCTCGTTGCCAAATACCATTGGTGAAAAGAATAATATACTGAATCAATAAGAGTATTAACAATAATTGTCCGAATTCCTCTGTATCACTTCATGAGGTGCTAGTCAGAATCCTTTGCAGATATCCACATTCTTGATGTAGAAACCAATGGAACCTGCAACATACCCTTCGCTATCAGGCAAAATAGCAGTCCTGTTACCGCTGTGGGGTAATCAGGCAATCCCGCTGTTTCAGAATGGTTGCCTCAGCCCAAGCAATACTGACCGACCGTTACACTTAGAGTTTTCATAATACAGGCCACCAATATGAGTGGGCACGGCGACGGTGACAACGCCGTGGACGCGCGGTTTAGTGATGGACAAAACACGCAAGACATGGCACTTCAGTTTGAGGCCAACGCTGGGAGCGCCCTAGTCACCGGCGCTCTGGGGTCTCTCCTAGACTCAAACCGCCAATGAGCCTGCGTCCAATTCTGCGCTGATGCTGGATGGCTTACAGCCAATCGCAGCCTAAATTTCTCGCCAGACGTCACAAGTGAACTTGCAATTGGCAGCGGAGACTGCGCCGATGAATATGCAATTAGCGTTGCAGGGCGTGCTGACGAACGTGCAATTGGCATTGCAGGCAACACTGATCAACACGCAATTACCAGCGCAAGCTACGCTGATGCACATGCAATTAGGACTGCAGACAATGCAGATAAATGTGCGGTTGGTGAACCAAGCCACTCAGAATATTCAATTGATTAACCAAATGGCACAGCAGATGCAGGGGCGAACCCAACAAGTGAAGACGCAAAATCGGGCAATTGAAGCGTTGGCTGCCAACATGGGCGCCAATCGGTCAGGGACACCTGGTTGTGCGACCAGCCTTAGACACGCTACCACGACACGCTACCAGCAGCTGCCCTGAGGCTGTGCGCAATGCAACGTCTTGAACGTTCGATGGGAATAATGGAGCCGAGGTCAAGATCTTTACTGGTAAACTCAATGAATATCTGCGGATGACCAGTGTCAATGGCAGAGAAATGATTTGGGACTGCTGCAGCGATGCCAAAGGGATGGCCAGACAATGGTACCTATCGAAGTATGGAAGGCGAATCCCACATGACTGGGAAGTGGCACAGAAGGCCCTGCTCAAGCGCTTCAAGCCTAGAAAACGTGAGCTGCTTGCTGAATTTCTATCTCTCAAACAAGGAACCCCAGAATCAGGGAGCTCCTACACTGACCGAGCCCTTGGCTATTGCATAACGTAAAAGGTCAATTAGCCGAAGAGACGATGATAGAAATTATCACCTCGGGGATCCGTGACCGTACCATTCGTCGAGAAGTGAAGAGGGAAGACCTTGAGGCTGCTGGCGGTGCTGCAAATGCACTTGCTAAAGCCTACGAAATGTGGAGGAAGTCTCCGCAGTTTGTGGAGGCTGCAGAAGAACAGAGGGCTCCCTTTCAATCGACAAGAACTAGCAAATCCAAGCAGAGTATTCCTGGATGGGTGTCCATCAATCCGCAAACCGGAGAAGGATCTTGCGCTCCCTGCCAGCGAAATACATCGACATGCAGGGATGACAGACATTGGAATAATTGCCCGGCCGGGCGGGGAAGGGGCTTCTTCAGGGGCCACTGCACATGGCGACCAGGTCAGGGACGAGAAAAGACGAAACGGCAAAGCCCACCAGCACCAGCATGGGCATAACAGGCAGGTGCAACACTCTTCCTAGAGAGATGACAATCCATCATGTAGTTGAGCCGAAAAGTGGAACGAAGATCTGAAGCGAGGGCGAACTCTGCAGAAGGGCGAGATACATCTCCCAGTAGCAGCGCCAATGATGCGGTGTTTGGCTATGACGATATATGGGAGAGCTACTTCGATGAGGCGGCCTACAATGCTTATATCGCTGAAGGCGAAGCTTGCCTGTGGAGGACGGCCGAGCCAAAAATGTATGGCGATACTGTAAAACGCAGACAAGGTCGAAGGTTGTGATAGGGTGGGAACGCGAACACCTGTACCAGACATGCCGTGGCAGCCGCCAGAGCCATCCTTTCCCAAACCTATCGAGTCTCCGCCATCTGCACTACAGAAGGCCAAAGCCCCCTTTCCGGGCGAAGAAACGACCCTGGGTCGGGCGCATGACGCCAGAACCCATCAAGCAACCCAGAGCTCGCAAGGCAAACACGAAGCCCGCAGCCCCTGTGATCAATAGCGACGGTGATCAGACAGGCGGCGAGGAGCCCGTCGAGATTGGTGTAAGGGAGACGACGATTACATATTCAATTGGCAAATCAATTAGCAGAACGCACGCTTGCATTCCATTGCGGCAGTACTAGGCTGAGTCGCCCATTGCTCGGCAACGCTGTTAGGATCTTCTCAGGCCTGGTGAGCGACAAACCAAGCCGATATCCGACTGACAGACCACAAGGATTGTTCAGAAAATTGCCGAAGACGATACGGATACTCAACTTGGATAAAACTTTGGACAGACCACTCAGGCCCAAGACAATCCCAAGTCGCATATGGCTACAGCAAGTGCCAAATTCCTTCGTGGAAGACATTCTGCGAAAACCGTGGTCGGTCTACAGTTTGGTTGTCTCAGATGCCATTTCATCACAGCTTACGGAGCACGCTGCAAACCCTGGAGGAACCAATCGACAATTGGCTCAAGGGTCGGATGGGCGTCTAGAATGTCGAAAAGATGCTTTCCTTCTGGAGAACCTCCCATCGGCACCTGCTGCCAGCCACATGCTGATAATCAAAGAAAACTGTCCAGACATTCAAATTGCCATGTTCGAAAATCGCCGTGCATGATTCCGATTGTGTAGGAGGGCCCAGAGCGGGGGTGCTGCCCGTTCTGGCCACGGGTGGAGGCGTGTCCGTTCAGGGGGATTGCTTGAGAACATCTGTCGGGACCAGCACGCAAGACAACTGCTGTGAATTTCCGCTACGTGCCCGACTCGAGTGTGAGGCCGCACCATCGTTGACTGGACTGAATGGTGTAGTTTTGGGTGCCCCTGTCCGTGATTTACGCAATCAGTTGTTGTTTCGCAACGATCTGATCATTACACCAGCTGTGTGGCGTGTGCCGGCGCCACTTCTCAACAGCGTAACAGGACAATGGCACGGTTCGCTAATGCGGATCATCAATAGTCACACATGCATTTGTACATACACTGGCGGCAATAAATCCACGTGTAATTAGCGGCCGCCAGCTACAACCGAGCTCCCAGAGGAACTCTTCAAGTCCTGGCTGTTGCGCCCGTCTATACATTTATCATATCATCATATCATATCATATCATCATATCATCATATCATCATATCTTGAAGGGCTGTACGAAATAACCCAGTTGAGTCCAGAGAGCTGTGTCTACGTTTGGGGGCATAGGAGTGGGGGTGTGGGGGTGGGCCCAAGGAACATGACGGCGGTCTGGTGAATGCACCGCAAATCTCCAGACTTCGTGACCTCAAGATCGGCCATGGGTGGTGCTGTAGAAACGTTAAGTTTGATGGCGGGGACGGCACCCAGTTGCTCCGCAACTTCGAAGTGAATTGGACCTGATGAGTCTCCGGAGACACGTTGGAAGTTTGCACTGAAATGCTGTGGTCGCTGCCGATCCTGCCAGTGCTGAAATTCTGGCACAATCATCGGCAATCTATAATTGCATTGTTGCATATCAAGTACGATGCGCTGTCACAAACGTTACGGTTACACATCACTGCTGCTGCTGCTTGCACATGCTAACACAACTGTACACAGTGAGTTGTGCAACTGCTGGACCGTCACTGGACGGTGGCGCACCACAATAAGCGTTGATGCGCCACTTCACGAATTTTGAACGTTCACGAGCCTTCGATGAATCGACACATCAGACGCCAAAGAAATTGCAACACAACACCTGACACTGCGGAAAAAGAACACCCCACATCGCGTTTCCCGCAAAGGCGCTCATCCCCACATTCAACCAGCCAGCATCCCCATCGTCCCACCAAGCTAAGTGCCCCTAGCAGCCCATCACCCAAAAAGCGCATCAGAAGTTGAGCAGACGCCTCGCAGAATCCGAAAAAGAGACCGACAGAAAGCCAGAGGCTGCAAATTTCGCGGTGGAAACAGTGGGACGGCGGACAGGCACCAGCTGCACCCAGGTCTGCATTCCATGCCAAAGCACAAGGGCGAGCCGAGCGGCGCCGGGCAGCTGCCCCCCGCCCCCCTGCCGCCTCAGTCCACCTTGATCTCCCCCCGCACCTCCATCCGATCGCACCCCTCCTCCTTGCCCACCCACACTGTGATGATCCGGCCCTTGAGAAACCGCCCCAGCCTGAACATCCCGAATATGATGCACACACCTCCAGACGCCACCAGCAGGAAGTTGCCTGGAAAGGGCACCGTCTTGGCCAGCTCGTCCAGAAATGGGTACGGGAATGACCCCCGCACGACTTTGATGCGCATGATCCATGCGCTGTACATTGCCACGAAGAGCACCGTCCAGCGCTGGGCACGGGGGCTGAAGGAGCGCGGGTGGCAGAGCATGAGGTCGATCCAGACGACGATGGAGTTGGCGCTGTGCACGGCGAAGTTGACCCAGGACACGCCCGCCGGGCCCTCGGCTAGGTTGTGCGTGAGGGCCTCCAGGCCGTAGTACATTATGGTCACAGTGTTGGCGGTGACAAAGACGAGGCAGGAGAGGTCGTCGGCCAGGCGGCAGAGGGGGGAGTCTTTGCCCTGTGGGTGGGGGAAGAAAGTGATTCATTTAACTGCTTGATAAATTACTGTAGTGTTGCACAAGTTTGCCGTCTGCTTGGGCTGCTAAAGCAAAGTTACCATTAAAAGGACGTTAACACAATATAGATGCTGGACACACAAAAAGACAACCAAATGCAATGGGAGACATAGACAAGCCGTGACAAATATCGAAGTAAAACGACACATGATACACACAGTATTAGAACAGCTTGATTAGCTTTTTACGATGTGTAATACTGATATTTGTGGTGACAAGCAATTCATGAACACAACGGAAGAATAACACGTAAGCACAGAAAGGTTCGCCAATCCTACTCTTCACAGGGGGAGGGTAAGCCGATTGCTCTCTTCATAGCCAGATAATTTGTAAGTCGCTGCTCAGCAGGGGAAGCAGTCAGGGTGGACCACCCAGCATAGTGACCAGGTTGCTGAGTGTATCCTTGGGTACAGAAATTTGTTCATAATAGTGGTACAGCGGGCCATTGCAGCATGCACCTGTGCAATGTACTTTTCTGGTCGACACCCTGGTGAGTCGGAAAGATGCAAGCGTGGCTTCATTTCTCTTCTAGCAGGTGCACTGCGTCATTTGCTACGTAAAAGCTCTTTTGAATTTGTTTCAAAATGCACGTCTTGTAGAAACAGTGCCAAGCTAGCATGCCCATATGTGCTGCATCCCCAGTAAACACAGCTAAGGTACCCAGCAAGCAAGGGCAACTGTACCGGCACCAGCCTGCTGGATTCCTGGAGAACGGAATTGGCACGATCCACAGGTCATGTGTACAGCATGTATATATACACTACACACAACATACAACAAAAATGTGCAAGTACTACATATGATCCACCGGAGCCAGCAAACTCACAAGTATACCGTCTCCTGCCATTGTCAGCTTAACAAGAACACTGGAAAATCCTGAATAAAATGCACCGGGCTGTTTCAATTCGTGCGCTCACTTTTCTGAGGTCAGCCATCATGGCGGACATGAGCTGGATTGTCTGCATCGTGAATGAGCAGAAGGTGAGGTAGCGGAAGAACCACCCGTACTCAGTAGCACCCTTGAGGATGGATGCTGCAGGGCTCGTGTGCCAAAGCCACACATACAGGAAGCATGCCCCAGCAGCCACATGAAGGGCTGTGCTGGCATACTTGAGGAGCTTGCCACCCCTGGGGGAATCGCTGAAGCAATGAGACTGTCAAGTGAACTGTTGTGCAAGTTGACGCTGCACATAAAAATGCAAACATTGTGTTCCGTACTCCAAAATATTGCATCACCCTCGAGTGTCTGTGAGGTGGCCAGGGCAGCAGTCAGGACAAATGTGGGCTCCAACACAATCCAACTGAACAGACAACGATCCCCAACTCCAACCAGCCAATATGATAAGTTTCTCCAGGCCCATCGCCACTGGTGCGCTAGCCAGCGCTCGTCAGAATGACAACACCGTGTGGGACCAACTTGAAATCATTCCTTTGTTGCCACGCAGAGCATTATCAAAGGCCCACAACACGCCAAATGAAGTCAAGCACATAATACGAACGATGAAGCAGAGGAAAAGTTCATGGATGCCGACACGCCCGTCGTTGCCTACAAGGTGCGAGGGCATTCCCTCGTCTTTCGAAGACCACTCCAAAGAAACAAATAAAATGACTTCAGAGCCAACGAAGGCTGTCAGGGGCGTTTGTGCGGGGTGGGCTGGGCCGTTGGCAACGCCGCTGGCGCCTAGGCGACGCGCGATGCGGACGCTCATCGCCACACATCCAACAGCGGACGAGACAAGTCCAGGCAGACCTGGCAGACGCGCTGGACAGACACTCTGGACAGGCTGTCCCGGGCTGGGCAGACTCGGAACCGCCGGCCGAATCCCCGTCGTCCATCGACCACATTTCGCCGCGCGCAATCCATGCGCGGAGGCGGGGATCGACGGCCGTGAGGAAGACGTTTCAGGGACCCAGGTCTTGAAACTGCCTAGCAGCTACGACTGAACGATTATACTACTTCCTATCAGTGTTTCTCCAATTCCTTCCTTGGCTCGGGAACAAGATGTCTTGCTTGCAGCCTTCAGTTGCTCTTGGATGCCTCTCGTTGATTACACTCCTTCTTCTTTTGCGGGGTCTTTCCTAATTTCTGACATATTAACAATCTCTTGTTTCTACGCTAAAACTGCATCGGATATTTCTTTCGCTCTAAAAAGCCTAACGTTCTACCTTGCTCTCTTTCCTTGTTTGACCGATCCTCTCTGGTTTGAGTTTCTTTCCTGCTTTCACGATCTCTACTCTCACTGGCACACATAACGTTCTCTGTTCTCTCTCTTTTGCCTTTTTCCTCGCCTTTCAGTTTGCAGGCTGCTCTTCCCTTGCCTGTTTGGTGCTGTGCTTTCCCAGGCCGAGATCCTGATGCTGCCGTGAGCTGGAGCGAGTTCAACTTGCTAGCTCAAGCGGATCGGCGCTGACGCTGCTGGTTTCGGGATCTGTCTTGGGGATCCCCGGAGAGTGGGGAGATGCGGAGGGGCGAAAGAGTGGCTGTGGCGCGCGGCCAAACGCCTCAAGTGGGGGGGGAATGCGAGCCAGGGCGGTGGGCGATTATGCGAACCGTCGTTCCGTGGGAGGGATGAATGGCAGCCAATCGGAACGCGACGGCTGTCGGAACGGGCGTGCCGGGGGGGAGTAATGAACGACGACGGGACGTCAGACGTCATCATCATCATCATCATCATGATTTTTTGGGCCTGACGTCAGACGTCAGGCCCCATCAAACGTCAGGCCGGTCCAAAACGAGGGAAACCGTATTCTGGGCTCTGCCGCTACGGGCCACGGCGTCCTCGCCTTTCGACGGTGCGCGTTGGGTGGAACGGCACTCCAGGGAGTGGACTGCCCTCTGCCTTGCCCCCGGCCGGGCGGTTTGGTACATCTTCCGCCAGGGGCGTCTCCACCGGAGGTAACCGGACCGTTCACCTTCAGCATCCGCACTTCACCCATCTTCTTCACCATCCGCGCTTCAACACCCACCCGTTTCGCCCGTCGTGGCCGACGTGCCGTGTGCTGTGGGCCCCCCACTTTCAGCACGTTCAGGTCGGCTGGCTGGGGGCAATGTGGGATGCCCGAACAACTCGAAACCAGCTGTCCCCGCAACTGTTGGAACCCGGGCAGGTTTGGTCCACGGAGCCCAGCAGAGCGTGTCGGAACCCGGGCAGTTTTGGTCCACGGAGCCCAGCAGAGCATGTCGACGGAAACTGCCGAGCATGTGTTCGCGCATTGCCGCGGGGGATGTTGGGGCAAGCCGATGCTCAGCAGCAGGAAGCCTGACCGATGTCAGGCCGTCACAGTTGAGTCTGTGCGCCGGGCCTCTCAGCGACCCAAACAGTGCTTGTCCACAGAACACCCCAGAGGCCCGGTCCATGGCCAGCGCAAAGCACTGTCTGAAAGGGATCCCTGCGCGCCAGGTCCCCGGGATTGGAGGGTTGTCGAGCTCACGGAAGGGTGGCGCGTCGCCTGTGCGCGTCGAAGACTCTGGGGGATGGGCAGCAACGCCGCTGGGGAGATGCGCCTCATGCCCTGGCCATGCATTGTCAAGACCCCACCTCGCCAATGTGCAAAATCTGCGACTGCCGCGATGCACTTGAAGAGAAGGGGGTGGTGGCAGCAACAGGGTGTTGCTGCCAAAAACTGCGGTGATGCAGTTGAAGAGAAGGGGGAGGTGGCAGCAGCAGGGTGTTGCGATGCTGCTGCCTGCAATTCGAGGGCGCGGTCCCCTGCAAATTGGTCCAATTCAAGGGAGGGTCAAACCAGCTGTGAAACTCGGAGGCATTGGAATCAAGCATTGGGCGCTGCGTTGGTGGCCGTTCGCCCGATTTGCTTATGTTCCCGATTTTCTGCATCAGGATTCATCAACAGTGCCCGAGTTGTGCAGCTGGTCAATACCAATCATCAACGGCTCTGATTCGAGATTCCCTCGAATGGGAAGAGCGTAGCCTTGGGGACCAACTACGGTTGCAAAAGGTGTCACGTCGCTTAGGACGCGCACTGACACTCTTTCTTTTCTGTTAATTCTGACAAGGGCAACAGCACCAGAATTGTTTCAGCCATCAACGCACAAAAATCCGCAACATCTGCCCAGTTTTCTTCCCGTAAATTGTCTTGTCGAAATGATGCCGTCCTCTTGACAGCAACACGCCCAAAACAGACCCCGCCAAAACTGTCTGCGCGCACTTCAAACAGGCCCCAGGGGGGCGGAACCACGATCGTGCAACCCCACTTGCACGCAGTCGCGCGCAACTCCCACCACAGCCCTTCGATCTGCACAGAACTCGACGCTGCATCCCCAAGACGCCTAGTCGTCGTACACCCTGCAAAACACAAACAACTTCTGACTGAACATTGTCACCAATATTGCCAATTTTCCGACGAAGACTGTGTCTGAATATGCTGCAGTGTATTCCCCATCCGCATTTTGAAATTTCATCGTTACCATTTCTGCTCTGCATTTTGTCGATAGGCCGTTATCTGGGGGGCTCGAGAGCATGGCCACAGCCGGAATGGCAACGTCGCTTTGTTCATATCACCCAAAATGCCAGTTTTCCGCCACAGCGACTCGGTGCATCAGGGCCCACTGGACGCCGCGAGCACTCCAGAGACCCCTGCGTCACGGCTTTGGGGCTGCTCCACATATACTTGGCACCGTTACGCTGTTAATATTGCTCCGCATAGAAAGGTCCAAGGGTACGTTACAATGCGGAAGGGTATGATATAGTATGGCAACTGACTGATTCCAATCAGAGCAACGATCCAAGCATCAACGACATTTCGTCGCGTGTCCGCAAAAGTCGTTTTGATGATACTGCAGCTGGCTGCGATATTGTCTTGCTGCAGGAGGTGCAAACAAACTAGTGCCATGAGGCCCACCTGCACTCATCGGCATCCGGGGCCGAATCACACATCTCTTCCAGAGGGTCCTTGTAGTCCTTGGACAGACCCTGCCAGCAAAAAGAACGAACAAACGTGACAGGATGTACGAAAGTGCCATTTCCCACCTGTCTCATCGAACGACATGAAGTCATGTGCCCCACGTTTTGTCCGTCAGCCCATCAAACAAAACAACAGTGCACAGGGACGTATGGCCCCTGAATATGTGTCAAACCCAAAGCCCCCGCTAGGCAACAAATTTGAACAGGTTGAAAACAGGCAAGTGATCAACAAGTTGTCAACTCGTGACCAGCAGCACAATGGGGTGAACACAGGTCGTGAGAAAGCACAATGGTGTTGTTGATGTGTGAATCCAGCCGCTTTGCAGCTCCCCCTGGCAATGCCTGCTGCTGGTAACAGTGCCCAAGACAGCTATGCACAGGTAAAAGTGAACAAAGAGCAGGCTGGCCTGCATCAAGACTGAATTTTCGTGGATCAAAACCATAACATCGACGTGCTCCCATTGTCAGTGCCTGCTGGGACTGTTGTTTTCCGATCTCTGCAACTATTTCTCTCCTTTGGCGCCGAGCAATGGATATGGTTGGACGCTTGAAGATGTTCTCCAGATGGGACAGAGCAACGAACGGAACAACGATGAAATGATGGACCGTAATGACCATATGTACAACGAAAACAGGCAAATGAACCCAACATAGATGAACTCAAAATGAACATCTTCTGACGACATTTGTTCCAACAGTGCCAAGCAGCAGAATGGCAAGATGTGATACTAGCATGTGGCATGGTTCCCAAACACCTGCTCATGCACCACCCTACACACACCCGTGACAGACATGAGCATGCTTCAGTTGGGCAACAGCGATGGGTTTCAATGTGGATCCCCGTTTGGTAATCGGCTGGTGCGTGGAGCCATTATACTTTCTAGCACTGATAGTTCATAATACAATACGAACAGCAACAGCACCAACCACGGTCACATGCGCCTTTCCTGTTTTTTCTGTCTGTGCAGTGCATTCTGCGGCAATTTTTACCAGTGCTTGGATGGAATCCCACGAGCCTCAATCCCCCTTATTGGAAGGCATACAATGCACCGATGGGATGATACTGCACCAGTCGTTCGCCTTTGAGATGGAAGGGTAAAGCCCTTCCAGCAACATCCATGCTAATAAATACAATTTTATGTATGAGTCATCATTCACCTGTGATATATGCAACATTTAGTTTTTCTGATATACTTAATACATTCGATGGAACAAGTCTACCAAGCTGATTACCGTGACAGCAAACAAGCAGGGACTCAGGACCCCTGGGCATATGTTTCATTCTCTTCCCATAAACTTATGTTGGCTGTTGTTCCTGCCAAACTTGGGGACACATGCATCGATCGTCTGCTGCATGGACATCAGCCAAACACAGTTTCTCATGCAGGCGGGATTCACACATTGCGTCATGTGTTTACATCGCGTTGGGAAAGCTGGAAAATTGGCGATGTTTAAACATTTGAGCGCGCTAGAAACGAGTGAGTAGAGCAATGCGCTGTTTTCTTGTTGTCCATGCAGATGCATTCGTTTGCGGTCCAAAACACAAGCTTTGGAGCAGAACGTGCAGTGTGCTATTCACACAGTTCACTTTGCTGCTCCAGAACTGGTGTGAGTCGAAATACCTTTGCCTCCTTCTTTGGTTGCGCCTGCAAAAGAAGAAAAGAGGGAAAGATTCAGTACATGAAGACATAGCGGGATTTTTGCTTAGTGCTATACGTGCAGTAAATAACTGTGCTTTGTCTGAAAGTAAGCCACACTTGGAAAGCACACTATGGTCCAGCTGTGCCTTAACGTCATCATGTATCAACTACTCCATATTTCACAATTTCGCTGCATTTCATCTCCTTATTCTGAACTATCCCTGGGGTGCATTGCAACAAGGCAGAGCATGAAGACATACCACAGAAAAAAGGCCCATGTATATTTTTATGCCCTGAGGGTGACAACAGGCACATGCACATCCAAAACGTCTTTCTGTCTCTCACTGCACTTGCATCTGGGACAGCCACTATCCAGCTGTCAGCCTAGACCACCCGGCTCCAGCGTACTTTCTTGCCTTGCTTCCACTGTGGGAATTGCACTTACTTCCTCCTTTCCTAGATTCTATGCATCATAAGCTAAGGACACATGAAATGAAGTTCATGAACATGCAGCATTGCTGGAGCTGTATGATAACCAACACCAAAATTGGGCAACTTTAGAATGAACGTGAAATGCACAATATTCAGAACATGATGTAGTACACAGCTGCCACATTTATCATGGGCTTGCAGCTGCAAGGGGGAGGGCCTGCCATGTGTTGCCAGATATTTTCGAAAGGTTGCCCACAGATCTCCATATGTATCCGAATTCCAACACTATCAAGACAAACACTACTGCCAATGCAAGGCACCTGCCAGTGCTGTTCTAGCCCACCTTTGAGCTCGATTGGCCCTCCTTGCCAATGCCAATGGACGCCAGGCTCTTCTTCACCCAAGAGAAGATACCCTGGTGCACATGGGCACAGCTGAACATTCAGGAACATTCCAGTGCGTGCTATGCCTGCCATCGCCTGCAACATGGCTGTGCATCGTCGTTTTGGAAGAAATGTCACAGAACACATTTCAAACGGTTGATGGCATGCCAAGTCCAGGCACACCAGCAATGGCCTGCCAGAATTCCACTGAGTGGAATCGTTCCCAACCTATTCTCCCCAGCGTTGCCCAACAGGTGGACAAACAAAGCATCGTCAGAATTTGATGGTGCCCTGTTGATGCACTGCAAGCTGGCAATGTCTGGACTTGTGAAGTGAACAAGCACTGGTTCAATTTTCCTCTGCCCAGCATCAGCCCAGATTGGAAGCACGTTGTCAAGGGACATTGACTGTGCGGCTGTCAAGTTTCCAACACAGACAATGTCCAAACGCCAAAACGGCAATGTATGCACAGAAATTCAGGTTGTATTCCAATAAATGCAAGCAAACGACTCCCACCGGAAGTAGCAAATGTACAACGGCATCGTTGATGTACCCTCACTGTTTCCAGTTTTGACATATGCTGAAAATCCAACCACGGGAGAGCTTCAACATCTGCGAACCCATTCCTTTGGTGACATTGGATTTGAGGAATAGCATTAAGTAGCAACACTGTCCCCCTCCATATCTGACAGCAGCTGAGGGAAAGGACTGCACTGTGAACGGGTTGTTCTGTTGATATACTGACTATTCAAACATGCACTGCACGAATTGAAAGTGCGTTGCTACATCCAGAGGAAGAGAAGTATCAGTGCAGCAAGCTCCATGTCACCAAGCTCCCCGCAAGACAATGTGTGGTCATAATTCGATACACACAGAGTCCATGGGCATTTTCGTGCCAGCAGCATCCAACGCCACCAGTAATGCTCATGTCTGAAGCCCGCACAACTAAGTGTGTTTGACATGCGCACCTGTTCATCCTGTGCCTTCTGCGGTGCACACAGAACAAGCCCTTATCAGATATCTCTCCAATACTGAAACAACTGGTATGATGAACTTTTATTCTCATATTGGAAAGAGGGGTTGGATCATAACTGCAGACAGTAATTGATGACAGTGCAATACTGCAGAAGGCAACTTAGGGCTAGGATATTTAACAATTCATTGCCTCAGCCTTCCTTGAGGCAATGCACGCTGGAAATCCTGAGAATGCTGGGAAACAGGCAAAGGCCTAAGCGTCTTGTCACTTGCTGGCCTGAATGTACCACAAGTGTGTGTTTGCTACCAATCACACACACCAACAGCAAAATGTCAAAACAGTGCTACCTTCCATCAGTGCACTGACAATGAACAAACCATGCGATAAGATCAGCAACACTGGAACTCATGCCCAACATCGCCTTTAAAGTGCAAGGGCAGTGTTTTGCCATGTTTATGTGACAAATGCAATCAAAGGATTTGACCATCAGTGCACGGTTTCCTTTAGCAGCAAGGATTGCTGCCAATTACCAAAACAGTATCTACTTTGTATTGACATATTGAATCGTTACATTATATTACATCGTTGTTATAATGAATCGTCATATCCTTATACTGAATCGTTTCTTGCATTGACACCATATGAATGCTGGTCTCCTTCATCCGGTGTCTTTCCTTTGCACTTGTTTGCTTCTGACTAAGGCTTGCAAGGGACTGCACGGCAGTCGCCCGCCGAGCAGTCCTGCCACTGGGGCTCTTGCCGCGATGTTGCGGTGCTGCAGGCACTGTCACCACGCGATGCAAACGCGGAAGAAATGCTCAAGTCCGTTTTCTTCCAACGAAGATCGACAGAGGACCTCCGGCGCGATGTCGCGCGTGCCACCAGCGGCGTGTCGTTCGGCTGTCAGGTCGCTGTTAGCGCCGGGGTCACTTTCTGGCAACACAAACGCGCCAATTTGCAGCGGACCATGTCCTGATGTCAAAGGCCTGAGAGGTACCGCAACAGACAGACACCGCGCAGCGCCGAGCTTTTCCGCCCGTTACCGGACGCCCCAGCGCCCCCCTCCTGTGACCAATATGTGGAGATCGGTTCCTGACCGGCCCTGCGGTACCCCTCGCTTGGGCATCCCCGAAAACGTGCAATTTCAGCTGCAAGGCCCGCTCGCGCCGCTGGCCTGGACGCGACGCACAGAGCGCGTGAAGGCTTGGTGGGCCCCAAGCCTGAACAGCTCACTGCTGCGCCTGCAAACAGCACCTTCCGGCTAGGGAGCAGAATGGACATCGCATTTCTGCAATCAATCCGCCCACTGGATTGGACGCCAAGAGGCAGGCGCTCGAGTTTCCAAAGGCACGAGGCAATGGACAGCAGCCGACCGTAGAGAATGGGGCTGCGGTCGCGCTGACTGTCACTTTCTGAGGCCTAACGGAACTGGGCCCGAGATTGGGAAAATCCGTCCCTGGCTAAGTTTGACGCCCGCAGCACTGCACTGGCCACAACGCGCCCGCCGCCGGTCGCAGGAGCTACGGCGGCTCCGCTGCCCGCCCAAGAGTGCGCCCCGCGCCCGAACCCCCGTCATGGCACACGTCATCCGGCAGACCCTTCCCCCGGCCCTACCGCAATCCATTCTCACTTTGCCGCGCTTGCACCACCCCACTTGGGGAATGCGCGTGAAGCCAACCCGAAGGAAAAGCAACCTAGCGCACATTGCCCTCGGCGAGGCGCCGGTTCCCCCACCCCCCCTTTCCCACTCAAACCCACCACCACCAAAGTGCCCACATGCCCCCTCAACCCCACCAGGCAGCCCTCTCCGACCCAGACCCAATTCAGACTCGGACAAAATTCCAAAAGCGAAAAACTCAAAATCCCAAACCCCTCCCATCCACAGGGCGGGCCCCGCCCAACGCGCTCGCGAATAGCGGGATCGCTCAACCCACCGGCGCGGCCATCGCCACCACGGATCGCCGCCTGGCCGCCGCGATGTGGCGCGAGCCGGCAGCCGGCACAGGGCCATGCAGCCGGGCGGCCGGCGCTCTGTTGAGGGAGGACACGGAGAGCTGCGCCATGGCGCCGGGGCAGGGAGTGGCAAGGCGGGGAAGGGGGGGTGGGTGGGAAGACGGTGGAGAGAATCCGGGGCGGTGGAAAAATTGGGAGATCCCGGAAAGGGGAAGGGCGCAGGGGCGTGTGGAGCGTGGGGGTCGAGTTGGCGCTGGAAAGACGTTGGAGGGTGCTTGGGGCGGGGGGTGGGGGGCTATCGTCTACGGTGTCGTAAACTGTACTGTGGGGGGTGGTGTCTACGGCGGTGTTCAGTAGCGATGTGCCATCTTCGGGGTGTCAATGAAGCGGTAGAGAGGGGCATCGTCTACGGTGTCGTATTTTCCACGATAGTGTCTACGGTGCCTTTTGGCGGGGCTATATCATCTACTAGATGTCACCGTCAATGACATTAAATGGAGGGCGTTCCCGATACGCAGACACCACCGTGGTAGACCTGTACCGATACTGGTACCGTGACCTGTGCCCAAATCTAATGAGTCTAAGCCCTAAACAACAAACCTGAAAACCCTGAAAAAGAAAACCCTAGAATGACCGACCCCTGTACCGGCCTTCGCCCTTGTACCGGCGCCCGTCTCGATATCTGCGTGTCGGGTCCCAGTCTCAGTTCCGGTTGATTATCTGCGTATCGGGAACATTGCGCGGACTAGTGGAGAGAGGTGTGTCGGTGGTTGTGGACATGGGGATGCTTTTGCGGTTGGACGAGATGCGCACGCGCGTTGGGAGCGCGCTGGGTGAGGAGCAACAGCAGGATGCCGCCGTTGGGATGGCAACTGCAGGTAGATCGCAGGTCGTGCAACAACGCTTGGAGCTCCTCGTACGGTTCGATCACAGCGAGTTGAAGCCTGGCACATATTGCCTGAGGGAATTTATTCAAGCACCCTCACAAAGGAGAAGAGTGCATACCGATCCCCTCCCACGCCAATTAAGGCAAACGCCCCCCTGCTCGGGTGCCACAGTCGACACAGTAGCAGCGCATTTGCGCTGTGTTTCATTCATAGAGTGCCATGGGATCGCCTGCTCAGTGGAGAGCCACAAAGTAAAGATCATGGGACCTGTTACAAACGCTCGCATATCGTTTCTCAACGACCCATTCGCCATCGCGCCGCTCTCGTACAAATGCTCCCACACAGTCCCCACGGGGAATCCCCACGTCAAAAGGATGACCCCATCGCAACACAGTCAATAGAGCCCCATGGCTCGGTTGAGCCACCAGCACGCAAGTGTGGGCACGCCACAGTGAGAGTTTGCGGGTGGGTTGGAAGACACACACAACCCGCCCGCCTGCAGCGCATCCCACAACGGCTGCAAGGCCCATCCAACGCCCGCAACTTTGACATGGCACAGGCTCCAAAAAATTCCTGGCACTAACGTGTCTTCTCGCTCAGACAATGAATTCACATCAAATACAGAAACCGTCGCCCTCGAGCCCAAAACGCCGATCCAAAAAGCATTCCATGCGCCACCCCATTCATTTTTGAAACCAACAGTAGTGCGTTCCAATAAGATAGTGCCAGCCCTTGGTCAGCTACTTCTTGCCCCTCTTCCCACTGCCACGGCCACGCCCACGGCCGCGATGAGACTGACCATGTGGTGTGCCCTTACCAGCATTTCCCTGCAGTGTTGTTTTCTTCACGTCTGCCCCAGGTGTGTGGGTATCTGCTGCCGCTTGCGGCTGCACCTGGACGCTGCCAGTCTCTGGATCGGCATCCCCAGATGGTTTTTTTTCTGGGGCCTGATTCGCTGGTTCCTCCAGGACAGGCTGCAGGGAACCTTCGCGTTTGGCTGCCATGCCGCCGCCCACAGGCATACTGGTCGCCTGCACGACTTTCGGTTCTTTCTTTGGAGGCGAGGTGGCTGTCGTAGCCTCTTTGGCAGGTGGCTCAGCTGCGGAAGCTGTCTGTTTCATGTCCAGCTCCAAAGCGACCGTGCCCTGGTCGCCGGCCTTCACATGCACAGCCACTGCGGCCGCAGTCCCTGGCTCTTCTTGTGCCGTTTTACGGACAGACTCAGCTGCTTTCTGCTGTGCCTGTTGCACTGGTTCCAGGCTGGGACTCTGTGCCGGATCTTTAGCTCCAGCGCCATTGCCAGACTCCGTTCGGGGCGATCCAAAGAAGCTATCCTTGGTTTCCAAGTCGGAAGCGAAGATGTTGCCGCTGCGGTTGTCCTGGACCACTTTGTCCATCCCTAACGCCCTCTCCTGAACTTGCACTTCTTCCGGCTTCAGCTGCGCAACTCCTGCCTCCACCGCTGGAGCCGCCGCAGGTGCCTTCACATCGTCAAAACCCTCTGGGCGCAACTGGCCTTTGGCATAGGTGGGGCTGGTGACCCCAAAAAATGCGTCCTTCTCCTCCTTCGAGCTTAGAAAGGTATTTTCCTCTGGGCCAGCTTTGATGGCAGCAGCCTTTACAACAGTGGTGTTGTCAGAGGCACTGGTGGGAGTTTCTGCAGCCTTCGACCGTGGCGAGCCAAAGAAGCTGTCCTTGGTTTCCAGGTCTGCAGTAAAAATGTTTCCGCTGCGGGTGTCTTGAACCACGTTGTCCATCCCAACTGCTGTCTCCTCCACCTGTACATTCTCTGGCTTCACCTGCATGAGCTTGGCCATCACTGCCGCAGCGGCTGCGGGTGCCTGCACATCACCAAAGCCATCAGGGTGAATTGGGCCCTTTGCATAGGTGGGGCTGGTGACCCCAAAGAAGGCATCTTTCTCCTCTTTCGACTGCACAAAGACGTTCTCTTCTTTGTGAGGGGGCGTCTCCACTGCGGTACTTGCAGCTGCTTCTGCGGCCTTGTTCTGGGGTGATCCAAAGAAAGTGTCCTTGGATTCCAGGTCCGCTGTGAAGATGTTGCCGCTGCGGGTGTCCTGCACAACGTTGTCCATCCCAAGCGCCCTCTCCTGAACCTGCACTTCATCCGGCTTGAGTTGCGCAACTCCTGCCTCCACAGCTGGAGCAGCTGCAGGGGCCTTCACATCGTCAAAGCCCTCTGGGCGCAACTGGCCTTTCGCATAGGTGGGGCTGGTGACCCCAAAAAAGGCATCCTTCTCCTCCTTCGTCTTCAGAAAGACATTGTCCTTTTCGCCTGTGACAGCCTCGTTGGCAACAGTCTTGATCTTGGACATCACGGTCTGCTCTTCAGCCTTGGGCCGGGGCGATCCGAAAAACCTTTCCTTGGAGTCCAGATCTGTTGGGGCCGGGGCCTCAGCTTTGGGCCGTGGCGACCCAAAGAACCTGTCTTTCGATTCCATATCCGATGTGAAAATATTCCCACTGCGGTTGTCCTGTACCACCCTCTCCATCCCCACCGCCCTTGCCTGCACCTGCACGGCCTCCGGCTTCACCTGTGCAAGTTTAGCCACAGCTGCAGCTGGTGCCTGTGGTGCCTTCACGTCAGTGAATCCCTCGGGCCGAATCTGGCCTGTGGCGTATGTAGGGCTGGTGACACCAAAAAAGGCGTCCTTCTCTCTCTTGGCCTGTAGGAATGGGTTCTCCGCGTCACCAGTTGCCTCAGCTTGCTGAGGTGTGGCCACCTCGCTTGTTGTTGTTCGTCCGGAGGTGACACCTGGGGCTGGCTGCTGAAGTGCCATCAGATTCACTCCTCTGGACTGGACCACCACATGCTCCCCTCTGGCAGATGTCGATCTGTGGGGCTCTGCATGCACATTGCAAAACTCTTTGCCTATGTTCTCTCAACCACACCATTTTTGCGCTTTCCCGGAATCAATGAACGAATATTCTCACAGGCAACGTGAAAGTTCGACACATTGGTTAAGTCATGTGTCCCTGCAGAACTCAGATAGCCAGACGGCATCCCCTTGCTAGCAGTCTACACCGAAATCAACAGATACTCACTGTGAGGGTGCTGCCCAAAAAATTGCTCAGAATCAGATATAGTGTTTCAGGGGCACACATGGAACAGCTCTATGTGCCCAGTGTGAAGGCATACACCTCAGACTGATTGGCAGCACTGCTACGACGATGGCATACGTGAACATAGAACTGTTCAAACAGGGGTGGTCGTAGTGGGGAGTGTATGTGGGTTGATGGGGTCCCTTGCGACACACACTGCCACGCCTAATGTTGCCCTGTGGGCTCTCGCTGAAGGGCATGCTCAATATGCCACTGCTCAGCCACAACCGTGACGCCCAGAAAAACAAACACCACTGGCAGATACGATTCAGATACTGCTGGTCTTTGGCACTTACCCTGGGCTTGCTGCTTTCTGCCCTTCCTGGCCTTGAAGAAACGCACCACACCAACACCAACAGCAGCAGCGATGCCAAACACAACAAAAAGGCCACCCCCACCGGCCGAGTGCTCTGTTTCCTTGGAGGAGCTACGCACCCCATCTTCGTCCATGGCAACAGACGCAAAGCAAGGCTGCACAGCAACATGGGTTGCATCTCAATTCTTGAACTGTCCTGATGGTTAGGCACTGTGTGGGCAATTGGGACAGCACATTGTAGGGGGTTGCACTGCCCAACTTGCCTTGGCTACATGCGTGGCTGTGATGTTTCACTGTGGAGAATGAAATCAACGTATTGCTCATTCTCGAGGCAGGCAACACCCAAGTAACAGCATGAAGTCCCCATTGCCACATTTGCCACATCGTGGCAAGCAAGCCCCTCACCATTCCTCTGTATACAAAGGGTAATCCTAAATGCGATGCACACCTTTGGACTAGTAGCATTTTAACCGCTTTGAGACATCAGGCAACAATCACAACGCAAGGTCACACCATGGAATCAGTGTGATTCCTTCGAGCTGGGACATCTGTTAGTTAGTGCGACAAGGCACACAGTAAAACAGAGCCAGATTGCACATTGCAAGTGTCAAAGCGCGATGCACAATGGCAGCCACACACAAAGCACACTGGTGCACACACAGGAAATGAAACTGTGGTATTCAGTAAAAACATAACAAGGTACAGACAAACAGAAGGCAAGAATATGGACAGGTGCACAAATACAGAAGGAAACAAAATCAATATACTGGAAGAAAATACAAAAGACATACAGCAGAGATGGCAAAAGCCTAACTGTGCACTTGTGACAGCCTCACCTTGTAGTACACAAGTCCATGAGCTTCTGTCCCATTCAAGTGCAGACACCGTTGCACAAGCTCAAAAGCTGCGGGCACAGTGGCAACGCACAGCATCGACACAATCCAGTCTGGGTCTTCAAATGGGTTGCCATCTTCAGGCTGCCAGCCATCGCTGCCATCCCCACCTCCGCCCTGTTTCCCGCCTCCTGAGCTGCCAGGGCCACCTGTTTCGGACAGAGTTGGCTGATCGCCTGGGCTGCTTTGCTGGGGGGTGCAGATGGATATCAAGCTCTGTGCACACATTTCATTCACAGTTCAAAGTCACCTTCAGCACAAAAACAGAGGAAAGAGCATATCAATATGCATTTAGCAGCTGTCAGACACCCATGCCGACTGCAGGTGCAAAGCAGTGGGCTGCGCAATGGTTCGATCTTCAATGCGGACAATGGCATACAGGTGCGATGTTGAAAGCGAAAATGTTGGCATGCACACTTGCACAGACAAATGTGCAGGCAGGGGGTGCCCATGGCAGATCGGTGAGGTAAAAGGCATGGGCGCAGAACTTCCAAAATCGAAGCATAAATCCAATTTGATGCTGCGCACATCCACATCAGTATTCACGCACACTTGATCGGCCCATGTCACATGCAGTAATGCAATATGGCACAATGGCCTTTGTTGCTGATGTTTCTAGTCATGGGAATCTTGGTCAGTTGGCTCAGGTGTCATTTGCACCCAAAAGTAGCCAACCAACCAATCATACCCAATATAGGACCAAGGGCAACGGAACAGTGATCTGTGACTTGGTGAATCAGAGGGGGAGTGGGAAAAATGAGCACCAGATAACATCAATGGGAGGTGCAATGGTACTTGCCTGTTTCAGATAGCCATATGGGCGGAGTGGCTGTGGTATTCCAGCACTGGGGGCTTCCAAAAACTGCTGAGCAGTCGCCTCAGGGGTGGCCGAGCACCAAACAATGTGGTTGGCACCATCTGCCCACACACATTCGAGACACATTTGCACCCACGTCAGGCCATGTTTGAGCCAGATCCTCAGGTCGAACTTCACACATCTGTAGATTCTTGAAGCAGGCACAATGTTCATCTCTGGGCTCTGCATGAACTCTCACCGGCATCGTTAGCAAGCAAACTACCAATCACAGCCCTGGCGTCCAGCAGGCAAAGTTCGATGCTGCATACCTGAGTGTGTGTGGGAGCGACCGCTTAGCTTGCGGCCGGGCAGCCGGGAGCATGTGGAGGGCCTCTGGCACAGTTCCAGCGGCCGCCCACAGCGGTCATAGCCAGGTCTCCCCACAGTGCCGAAAGGCTGCAAATGCAGGGCAGCAGGGCGGCGGTGCATCAGCAGAAGAAACAAAAAACTTTCGGCCAGAGTACTGTGCTAGGTGGACTGCACAGCTGTAGGTTTAGTACTGTACTGTCAGTGAAATCGCCTGAATGGGGTTTTGGGCTGTTTACTGGTCTGACTGTACACAGAAGGGCAGGCGTGAGTTTGGTGCAAGGACGTCGCACTGCTTGTGTTTAGTGGGTGCAGTCAAACAAAAAGAAAAGGGAAAATACAATTTAAGAAAAAATACAGCAAAAGATTCCACTGGGGTTGCGCGCCAAAACTACCGCAGTCGCTGGATTGGGATGTTCTTGCCGAATTGCTGCTCCCCAACGTATTCCACGACTCCATACAAACAACTTGTTGCGATCCCAAGGTTCAAGAGCCTTATCTGCACGGGTTTTTACTGGGCACTGCCATCTTTGACTTGACGTTCAACCGCTTTCAGCCTGAAACTGCTCTCTCAAGTCACTGACTGTTGGCGTTTAGGATGCACCGAGCAATAAAGAGACTGCATCTTTTAGCCACATGACCGCATCGCGAAATGAATGCCCCCCCTGCCCGCTCGCCCTCGAAGGCTGCACCAACCTTGGTTTTTAAAACAGCAGGCAGCAGAGCAAAATATGCGGCCAACGCCTCCCCCCCCCTTGGCTGGCTCTCACGTGGGCCCACCCCCGCGTGGCGTGCTCGATCAATGACCAATACTCGTGGCAAAAAATGCGACCAAAAAAATGCGGCCATGCATAATTCGCCTGAACCTTCGGGTTCCCCACCCCACGTGGCGCTCCCGGCCAATGGCATCCCGCGTTTGCCGAGAGGTCCACCAATTAGGAGGCACGAACCGCCGTGGACCGGGCCAGTGGCCTCCAAACCGGAGCCCCTCCCTTCCGCCCTTGTCCTGCCGCGCCTTCCACCCACAAGGGGCATGCGGCTGTTGGCCGAAGGGCAAGGGCCCAGGGAGGCGCGATTAGTCAGGCCGCTGGGCGGGCCTGACTGGAAGGGGCCGGGACCCTTTCGCGCCTGGCGCAGGCGCGAGCCGCTTCGATGCGGGCGATTGATGCGGTGGCCGACGGGATGGAATGTGGGGCGGGTGTGTGTGTGCGTGGAGGAGGAGGCGTGGCTCACCTTCATCGCGAAAGATTGGCCCTGCGGCAGCGGAAAAGAAATCTGAGTCAAGATTGCGACGGGCATGCGGGTATGGAGAAGCATGCATGGGCGACTCGTCGTGGCAATCTGGGGGGAGGAGGGGGGGGTATTGTGCGGGGATGGCAAAAGGGGCAGCTGAGATGGGGGGGTTGTGCCCCCCCGGGGAGGGTGGAGAGCTGGTGACGTTTTAGCCAGGGCATTTTGTGTGGCTTGGCGATGAGGTGAGCGCGAACGGGGAATGCACGGGACAATACACCAGGCGCATGATCAACTGACCCACGGCTTTGAACTGGCAAGGACGCCGCACCACGGCTCACAGTTCACGCCGATGGGGCTGTACGCCCAGGCAATCCGCACACAACACGTTCAGTGGCCCCGACCTGGCATCGCGATTCGACTGCACAAGTCACGCGGCGGCGCAGCCGTGTGCGCTCCAGCGAACGAGTGGCCGTAGACCCACCGCGCCGGTCGGATCTCGGACCCCGGCGAGCGTCGCCGCCCCGTCGCCCATCAGCACAAACGCCGCTTGTAGCATTCGGTGCCGGCTCCACCGACAATGAGCACAGCGCCCGAACGCCGGCGTTCGCACAGATGACACTGCGCGCATACGACGCCACAGCTGGGCCGATTCCCGAGCACCAACGGCCCCATTCCCATCCCCGCCAAGCGCCACGGGCACGATCGACCCCACGGCTCCCTGCGATCCCGCCCAGCGCAATCGATGTGCACCGACCGACAAAATGCCTTTCCCCCCTTTCCCGCGAGGGGCCATCGACTTGCAAACGCCCCAACGGACCCAACCCACAAGTCGACCGCGAGAGGCCGCATGGCTGACCCCAATCCGATCCAACCGGCCCACGTCTCAATCTCACCTTGCGCGCCCTCGCCCCTTCGCCGCGGCTGCCGGTTGCGGGCGGCGGGCGGGGGCGGGGGTGAGGGGTGGGGCGCCGCGACGCCCCCGATGCGCGCCGTGTGCTAGCGAAGCCTTCGGCCGCGGATGGGCCAGGGGCGCCAATTTGTGAGGGCCATGGCTGGGGCGACTGGTGTGCGCCCCAGTCAGCGGCACGTTGGCCGGATCTGCCACGGGCAGCCGGGGGCGTCAAATTGGGGCTTGTGGGAGAAAGGCGAAGACATACAACATGCAGTACAGAGCCTTCACCACCTGTGTCTCCTGCGTACTTCTGTGTGCATACTTCCTGGATGCGCCGCTGGCATCCAAGCAAGCTGGCACTCTTTTCCATTTTCTTTGAGGGATGATTTCACCCTGGAAGTGTTCCACTTTCTGAGCTGATGAGTCCCCTTATCAATGGGTGATACTAGTCGCGAACTTTTTCAATACCCGCTTAAAGGGTGCGTTGAAAAATTTCGTAATTGTTTGCTGAGGTCGGAAATTCCAGTTGGTGCCCATAGCGATAGCGAACTCCGCATCAGAGTTGGCGAACTCTGCACCAATGCGTGCCACTGACGCTTTGAGGCAGGGCCACAGTCTCGGGACCAAACGGAAGCTGCCACTGTGGTGCTTCCCAGTTTGTCGCGGTGTGTTTTCTGGAAGATGTGGCCGTGAATGAGCGGGTGCACGTACCCGCCGTGCTCGTCTGTTGCCGCTCGAAAGCTCGGTGATCTGCGCAAGACAATTGAACAAACCAACGTGTCAACATAAGACCACCTCTAAAAATCACACAGAAGCCTAAATCTGTCATAATCAGCGCACATGTTCAAGAACACCACAATAGGCACTGACTTTCAAGCACACAAACGTTTTTGTTGTTAAAAAATATCTTATCTCGATTTGCGGTACCCGTGTGCCCCGGGACGAATCACACCAGCAAAGCGTACGACAAACCGGCCACGTCCCCTTGCCGTACGGCCCCCAACCCCACATCACTAAAAGCCGCCACCCAGCCCCCGCGCTTCGAGATTCAAAACTCGAATCGTACAGAAACCCACCGGGCGGGTGGGGCCCGCCACGAAGCTGGCACATGGCCGCGCCCTCACGCGCTTCGGCGCTGGCCCGCGTGCTCCTTCTGGCTTTCCACCCTTTGAACCTTGGCGCCGCCCACCGACCACAGCCCCGACCAAGCCCGGGCATCCGCCGCTGCGCATCCAAGCCGCGGGGGGGAAAGAGGAGGGCGAAGGCGATGGCTGGGGCGGGGAACGAGGGCCGAGGGGCGTTCATCGTGTTCGAGGGATGCGACCGGTCCGGCAAGACCACGCAGTCCAAGAAACTCGTCGCCGCCCTGAGGGAGAAGGGGGTAAGGTTTTGAGATTGGTTGTATGAGAACGGGAAACAGGTCACGCAAAAAGGGCACCGCGGCTTGAGCAAGCGTGGGCGGGGCTCATCCGCGCTGTGGGAAGATGTTGTGGAGCCTTCGGTGCGAGAAGGGGAACACGCAACACGAGGGCCGCGAAGGGCAAGGGGGGATGACGGTTTTGGAAAGATGGGAGGGTGCGCGGCGACGGAAGACGATTTTTTGGTGGGGATGATGGCAGCCGGAGACGGACTGTTTGGCGGAGAGGTTCCTGGTTGAATGGGGGGTGATCGAAACTGATTTTCGGGAGAAGTGCATCGGCCTGTCGCGTAGAGGCGATATGAGGTGCAGTTCTTGAAGAGGTGGAGAGGTGGGTGGGGGAAAGGACTCGCTTGCGTCGTGCCCAAATCACCTAATCGCCTTGCAGCAAAGATGATCGTCGATCCAACCAGGAAGCTAAACATGCAGAATATACATTATACATTTCGGGCTACATTCGACCGTCTCGCCTTTCTGCCGATTGCGTTCTGGAGGAAGTTGGCAGATGTTCCCCCCACGATGGGTTGGAGTTGAGAGCTGCAAACAAATGGGGGACAGTGGGGCGTTTAGGATGCCTGTGTGCTTGCGATTTCCTTCAGCGTAGAAGGGCTCTGCCATGACAGCAAATCACTCTTAGCAGGTTGTGGAAAGAGAGAGATATGTCATACAATGGGCATCCACTCCTTAGCAAAGAAAAAATGGACAACTACAGAGCAATATGAGATGGTTGACAACGTTAAAAGTGTTGGTCATGGCCTTCAAGGCAAAAGGGCAGTGTCTTGCCTTACATAGGCAAATGCGATGCCTGGAATTCAGTCTTCACATTCTGCAGTGACGTCTCGAATCATCGGTTTGTGGGCAGATGGTGTCTCCACGCTTTGCGGAGCATGTTCAGTTCATGCAAAAGAGAACATGTCATCTAGTTTCAGCACCACATGACCAAGAATTGGGTTAGCTCTACCATGCTATAGAAGATGACACAGAAGCCCATAAGAGCAACTTGAAAACAACAGTGCAAAACTGCACAACTAGACCTTTCGCACAACAAAATCTTTTGCTTCCATTGAAAAATTCACTGACAAAGATTTGTTGTAGGAAACATGAATATGATGCCCCCTTCCTTGCCGTCATATGCAATATTTCCTGTTTACCTGAAAGCAATCAACACAGAGTAGCACATGGTGGCTTTGTGGATCGTTACTTCACAGGTGGATGCTGAGTGGTGGAGGTTCCCAGACAGGACCACTGGCGTGGGGCGACTGATCGACTCATACCTGGCAGGGAAGCAGGACACTGAGGATGACGTCATCCACCTGCTATTTGCGGCAAACCGCCTTGAGAAGAAGTGAGTGTGGGGTTGTTGTAAGTCCAGCTCAGGAAAGTGCATGGATATCTGTGTTGTGGAACTCATGCATGTCCGTCCAGTCAATGCAGCACACCCCAGATGTACACAGCAGGGAGCCAAAGATGTCAGCATGAAACAGCTGTCAAATGTGAAACAGCTGTCAAATGTGTACAAACTAAGGATGCATCAGAACCTGGCAGTTCCCCTTTTCAACGTCTCTGTTTTCACCAGGCAAACAAGTAACATTTGGTTATGCAGCCCAAGGTAGTCCAGCATTCATGCAGCTGAGCTATTTGCTGTCTTCATTGTTAACTACCGACGTGTTTGCATGGGAGCAAACATGCAAATGGTTGTTTGGAACAAAAGCATTGAATTCCTGTGTCCCGACAGGAAAATGAAAAGGCTTCCTCCTTATGCACAGGACGTTAGATAGGATCTCTGACTGCAGCAAAGGATGCTTTCATGCTTCACAGGGGAATCTGCCAGGGCAACACCTGCTCACTCCTTTGCAACTTTGAGGCAAAGGGGTTGTTCTTTGTCTTGGCATCACATTGACCTCACAACAAAACTTTGCAAGGGTACCTGTCTCATTGTGTCAAGTCTTTCCGTTCTTTGTAAACAAGCCTCCCCCTCCTTTTGCCCTACTGAGTGATTTCCAGAGGTGGTGCTGGCTGAAAACAATTGACGATAATGTCCCCTGCATGTTAGAAGTTGAGGATGGGTGCACAGCATCATCCACCTCACATATGCACACGATGGTCAGTTGTGTCAATGGCATGCTGCCCTTCAATAGCCACATATTTAGAACAGAGCTTCAAAGTATGTGAAGGGGCACTTTCCACCACAAGAGGATTGGCATTGGGGAGATAAACTGCTGCATACAGGGCATGCTGCCCTGCATTGTTGTGTTTCTTTCCCTGGCTGTTCTCACAGCAGAGAGAAGCAATGGTGGCTGATATGAGCTGCATCTTTGTTGGACAGTGTATTTACATAATCTGCACGTTTGGATATCTTATCTAGTGGGCAGGTTGATGGGACCGATATGCATGGTGTTACTTCCAATTTTGTGGGACATTGCAAAACATACGATCACAATATTATATCACAGTGCAATGGGATATTTGTATTGGAAGTACATTTACTCCCATGTAGTTCAGAATATGCTGCATGACTTCTGATCTGGTGCTGTGGCAAGTCCCTGTGGACAAGCCCCAACTTGGGGACATTGTCTTTTGCATACTTTTGGACAGCACTTGACCGACGATGCAACATATATGCTGTGTGATCTGTTATGCAAGGTACACGATGCGCTGTGCATAGGCATGTGAAATATATGACATGATGCAGAAATGACTCTGGGGCACAATGATTTGGCTGCATCTCCCTGGAAACAATGAGCATGGAGCAGGTGGTGACTGGCAGTCCCATTTGCGCCAAAGTATTTGTTCATCCCCACGTGTACAATGCGAGGTATGGCGCAAGGCACAAGATTTGATACTTCATTGTACTGTATTGCACCCCTTTTCCTGAAAGAGGCATTGATCTGGCAGACAGGAACTGATGTCCAAATTGGAGGGAGGCACAACAGTTGTGCTAGATCGCTACGCTCAATCTGGCGCCGCCTTCACCATGGCGAAGGCCACACCTGGCCTTGACTTGGCCTGGTGCATGGGCGTGGAGGGCAGTCGGCTCCCAGCGCCCGACGTTGTCTACTTTTTGAAGGCACCTGTGGAGATGGCTGCAGAACGGGGAGGGTTCGGGGATGAGCGGTATGAGGTGCTCGAGTTTCAGAGAAAGGTGAGGTGAGGCGACAGCCTGTGAATCTGCTGTGTTCACTGGCTGCTGTAGCCCTTGCACCTCCCAAGTGTTGGTCACGATCCGCACACAGTATTTTCAGAATGAGATCTCTGTGAACACCATAATCTGAGTGCACTTGTGAACCCTGCAGTTTACCTTTCTGTCCTCGCAATAGTTGTGGGGCCAGGTGAAGTCGAATGGAAGATATGTTGCCACAATGAGAAGGCACATCATGCAATGGGCATCCCACTGCTGTGCCAACAATTTCGTGAGGCTCTTTCCATGCTGCGCAATATGATTGCAAATGCCTTGGAGTGGAACAGGCAAGCCCACAATACAAAATCGCACAAAAAGCAATAACTGAACTCAAGGATAAGTTATCTGTGCACATAGATTGACAAGGGTATTCATTCCAACGTTCCTGAACAATGCGCAAACAGTCACCTGAACAATGGATGTCCAAGGAACAAGCTGGAGGCATTGGCATCGGGGCTGGGTGGGGCTGCTGGAAGTCCTGGGCAACATGATGCTGTGCTGCACACCGTGGCAGACTCTGCACAGTTGCATCGTTGCGTGTTGAGACACGAGGCACGGCAACCAATCAAAAACACTGACCTGTAGCTGTATCCTGGGATTTGAGGCACAGTACCCACAGGAAAGTGCAGAGTTGCTGCATCCAGCAGCCAACAGCATTCAGACTTGGACAACGTCCACTTACTGAGTTACCCACATACACAGTATCACACATCGATGGTTCCCTTCTTTACATGCATGATTCATGCTTATCAGAGCAATGTTGTGCATCTGTGCAGAATGTGCAGGCTGTTGGTAGACAGCAATTTGTACATCTGTGCAGCTGTCTGAAAGTTCTTTTGCCAGTTGAGCTGCAGGGTTTGAAAGTCCATCTGAAACTGAAGTGTCAAGTACTGTACCATGCTGTGTATCAATTCTTACTGGGCTTTACTGCCTTGTGCTGCAGGTAGCGGACTGCTACATGAATCTCAGCAAGATGGAGGGTTGGAGGGAACTGGATGCCACACAAACCATCGATGCCCTGCATTTAGAGGTGTGTGACTTTATACCTGGTCAGGTTCAAGCTTACTTGAGGCACAAGCACCCTTATGTACAGTTATGGTTGCACAACCAATGCACTGAGTAAGGATCGTGTACGAACTCGGTGCTGCCAAGTAGATAAGCACTATGTTCTATGTGTTGTGCACACTTCACCTAAGGTGTCTGAACATCAGGACTGAGTTTTAGTTTGAAGTCTGTTCTCCATGATGATCGTGGAATTCGGGCATCCAAATCTGTAGACCTGGATCTGCACTGGCGAATGCGCAAATGTGGGATATTGCAGTCCCAGTGCTTGGACTTCTTTTCTGTTCCAACAAGTAATGCAATGTTCTGGAGTAAGAAAGACAAACATGGACAACTTTTGACAACTTTTGAGGACTTTTGAGAGACAACTTTTGGGCACCATCTCTGTACTCTTCTGTCTTGACGTGCTGAGGAAAACAACAAAATATGGAATGTGCCTCGTTCACACCATGGCGTTTCTTGTACCCTGCATGGATCCACCAGTTAGTGAGACTTTATTCGGTAATTGACTCAATGAGTGGTTGAATGGATTCTAAAATAAAACGAAGATGTGGCGAGTTGCCGCCCTTGCAACCATTGGGCAACATTGGGTGCTGTGTACATCCGTATGTTGTTGCTGAAGTATTGCTACTCCATAATATACTATACCCTTCCACATCTTAACGTGATGTTTGACCTTTTTCCGCATATTTATGTGGAGCAGTAATAGAAACGTACCAGTGCCAAGAAAACATGGAGCAGCCCCAGCTGCACATGAGGGCCTCTGGACTGCTCGTGGCATCTAGCAGCCCCAGATCCGTGAGTCGCTGTGGCAGAAAACCTGCATTTGGGGCCATGCAAACTAAGCGAAGTCGCAATTCCGGCTGTGGAAATGATTCACAACCTGCAAAACAACGGTCTGTCGAAAAAATGTGGAGCAAACATCGTAACACTGAAATTTCAAACGCGGAACAGTTGAATATATCATGCTACACGTGTTTTGTTTTCCATGTTTATTTGTGCGTGTTTATTCGTTTATATTTTGATTGTGTATTCCTTGTGTTCCCAATGGCCACGGATCGGTTCAAATGCTGCCAGCATGCCAGACTATGAACAGCAAAAGTCACTCAGTTCCTATGTTCCTGCAGATCTGTAAGGATGCCATGAAGGTGGTCGAGGCTTGCAAGGCTGGGCGCCCTATTGACCTGCTGTGGGCCACAGGCAGGCAAGGGGGTGCATCAGACACGGAGACAGGAAAGCAGAGGAAGCGCAGCCCCAAAAGGTGATTGTCTGTTTCTCCGCGATTGGAATCCTTCTCTGCATTATTCTGTGACGACAAAGCAAACGTGTTGATTGGTAATTTGTGTCAATGTTCTGCTGCATCGACGTTTTGGTCCCACACTGTTTTGTATGAATCAATAGCCAGAGAATCCCAAATGCTTGGAAGAAAGGGAAATAAAGGTTCAAATTCAGGGGAGAAAACTAGCACATGCTGCTGTTAACAATTGTCATCATGTTTTCGTCATCTAGTTAACAGGTTTTGCAAGATACATATAAGAATATAGGATATTATATAATATAAGATATATAAGAAACCAAACGTCTGAAATTGAACATTTGTAAACAGAACCTTTGCACACTTTGTGCGGCAGATAAAGCACTGTGAACCTCCATGCAATATTCTTGAGTCCTGCACCACTGCACCATGGATTTTGGGAGTATTGTATGGCACTGTTTCTGGCATGGGCTTATGTGGTCTGTTCTCGGTGGGCAATACACAGAAAACTGCTGCAAATGCCACAGTACACAATTGTACACCACAAGTACACCACAATGCAGAACACCACAATGCTCTTGAGTCCTGCACCCCTGTGCCATGGATTTCGGCAGCATCGTGCGCCACTGTTTCTGGCATGGGCTTATGTGGTCTGTTCTCAGTGTACCATACACAGAAAACTGCTGCAAATGTCACAGTACCATGCTCTCCGGCATCCTGTTTGCCACAAAAATCCTCTTTGGCCAAATTCTCACCTGGCTTACAGGCTTCACTGGCATCACACATACAGACTGTTAGGTGACTGGCACTGCAAGGCGCACACAAAGTGATTGGCTGGCTGATTGCCTTTCTTTGATATGCTGCACAGGCCAAGGGCTGAGTCTGAAAGAGAAGAGAAAGAGAATAAAAACTGAGAAGGCAAAATTTGCCCTGGTCCCCTGTGGCCCCAAGAGGCAGTTCTGTTTTGGGGGAATGCTTTGTCAGATGCATGTACTATGTCAGGTCCACAGCCCCCCAAGGGCAATTATGCTCGGGCCATGGATATCTGTTTGAGGACGTTTTGCTTGACCTGGCAGATGCACGCCTTGCACACTGATGAATATGAGTTGCAAGGCTAAGGCATCAGATTCTTCAAGGTTTAGTTGGAAATCTAGCACAGGTTCAATTCTTGAATGCTTTGATTCCATATGTTGAAAAATGCACATTGTGCGAGTGCAAACACTGCTTCATGTAGGCACTCTTTTTTGTGATAAAATTCATGTAGACACACCTGAATGTTGTGTGCACCACCCGTAATTCCCTCTTGCAACATCTGACCCCCCGTCCTCACCAACCCACACTTAATTCCAGGCCAACACCAAGGGTGTGCCTGAAGACGCCCTCCCCAAGGATACCAGCGCACATGACTGAAGTGAAAGATAGCAGAGCGAGACCTGTTGGGATGATCTCTGCAAATATTATTGCAACCTGCAAATTGCTGCCTCACACAGCCACCATCATCCATCCATCTCTCTGCCCAACCCGCCAGCGATCTCGGATCGCTGGTGGGGCCAATCGCCAGTGGTCCCCACAAGTACACCGCCTCTGGCCACCTTGCATAGCTGGGTGCTGTCCTTACGTTGGCGCCCTGGCCCTCTCCCTACGTACCCAAACCCCACCTTACCCCCCACTCCCCCTCTGAAATGGAAGCATTTTCTATGGAACTTTCATAGCGGAGACAATTCATGAGATTTGAAATTTTAATTGGTAACCTTCCCAACTCTCAGCTGCATGCCTCCATGGAAGACAACTTGGTTTTGCTGGTCATACGTTCTGGAGTCATACGTTTTCAATCTCCATATTGGGCGTCACCCACCAAGCATCCGACAAGAACGGTCTGGAAAACATTTGGCGGATTTCTGGAGCTTCCAAGCATCACAGTTGGAAGCTTTTATGTTTGAACTATAATCGCCTGTCAAACATTTCACTATAACAGTGCACGTGCTCAGGGGCCACATTGCGGGTTGTTTCATGATGCCAAGGTGCAGCGTGGCCTGCAATCTCTCTGGGTCTTGAGCTTCAACTTGTTCCAACTAATCTGCGACTCCACTGATGCTTCTACTTGCCCAGCCAGCCCGCGACGTCTCTGAGGTAGCAGCCAGGTGGGCATGTCTGCAAATGGGCCGCCGTGACCTCTATGAAACGCAACTTCATTTGTGTATTGCGTTGTGCGCAGGGCAGATCTGTGCGCTGGCAGGCAGCCACAGCCGGATTTGCTGCATTCTTTGAAAGAACCGCACGCATTTGATGGCTGCCTCATCGGTTCCCAGCAGACGTCAGCGCCAGGCCAAGACACGCACGTGCACTACAGAATCGCATGCACGATTTCCTGGTGCCCAATCCAGCTGCAAAAACAGGAATCTCCTGGACGCAGGAGGAGGGAGGGGTCAACCCGGGAACGCTGGTGTGTTCGCCGGGCCTAGCCCTGCTGTAGCAGTGACAACCGGTTTGAATCTACCTGGGTAGCTACTGCCATGAATCTATCCACGTAGGTTCTGCTATAAAGGTATTTAGATGCTAGCAGGTTGTCTGCCCAGACTGGCAGGTGGTTGCATGCGTACAGCTGCCAGTAAAGCTACCTACATCCTCAGCTACCCACCCGGTGACAGCCTGGTGATGCCATTGATCGGGGCCAAGGCAAAAGCCCTCTCTTCCCTACTACGGCCACCACGTGGATTCCTGTGGACACTGGAGTTCCACGGTGCCCAACTTCGCACGATGCCAGAAGGGGCGTGTATCGCGTGAGGCTGATGGTACTGCATGCCGGTACAAGTGTTGGGGGCAATAAACACAGGCGTCAACGTCACCAGGCACATTCCCTTGCAGAGTCGCCAGGCACTGGTTCAAGGGGGCGCTCTTCGAGCCGCAACGCCTGTGGGCACTGCTGGTGCTCGCTGCGAGTGGGGCAGGTCGGGACGGGGGAGGCGACTTGGCGCATGGGCACTTCCGGAACGGGGTAGACAGTGACGCCTTGATCGGGTGCTGCGCTGGCGTCGCGGTCCCTGTCCCTTTGCGTGTGGATTCGCGCTGACCGAACGTCTATTTCGGCCCAGCATCTAATTTTGTCGTTGCGACGGTGCGCGTCGAATGGTGGCTTGGGAGCTACAAATGAATGACCCCCCTCCCCCTCCCCCCGCCAATTCACACTGCGAACTTGACACTGTCTTTCCTTTCTGTATGCAGACCCCCCCCCGTCGTCGGGAGCCGTGTGCACGGTAAGCTGGAACCCCCCTCTGTTGGACACTGGCACTGTGCAGTGATAGTTGACATCCTTGGCAGATCGACTTGAAAAACCTGGAGCGGCACTACCGCTCGTTGCTCGGCCTGGTCCCCCGGTGTTACACCGACTGGCCTACCATCATGCGAAGCATAGGGCTGACCACGCCGTCTGAATAGATTTTCAGGCTTATTGACTGCAATATTGCTGCCGAGCACATTTCGCCGAGACCCTACGAAAAGCAGGGAATGTGCATGGCAGGAGGCTGCGCGAATGTTGATGGTCTGTCTGGCACGCGAGCGAGTCGCCTTGCGCTGTTGCCCCCATCGTGGTGCGCCTGGGGATAGTATTTCATTGCGTGAGGTCGTCGGCTGGCCTCGAGGGCTCACGCCCCCGCGATGGGCGCCGCGCTCAATTCTGTCGGGCCGCTATGACAAGACTCCGCCGAAGATCATGCGAATTTCGCCCCGCGTGCGACAACGCCGCCACCACCCTGCGCCAGTCGGTCCGCCGCTGCGAGGCTCCTGGGTTCGGCGCACGCACACCTGGAGGCAGTACATGAAGGTGCTGCGCCTTTGGCCAATCATCCACGCTGTACCATTTGCTGAGTGGTGATTGGTTGGGGAAAGTGGTTTCGCACCGGCTTCAATCGAGGGGTGCAACAGGCTCACCCGCCACCACCTGGGGTCCTTATGAGTGTTCTGTGCTGTTGAATGCACGACTGGTGAAGCGCCCTATTTTGTTTACTTTTGTCGCGAGTAGTGTGTCGCCTCAGGTATCTGCGCCGCGAGCACCATCGTATTAAGCCCCTCACCTGGTGAGATCTGATCCCTGCCATGGGGGTGTTGGGGGTCCGAAGTCAGTGCTGGGCCCAGTTTTCCAGTCCCGATAGTCTGCCGCCGTATGTTACACAAACTTGGATAAACGACGCAATGCAGTCAGGTATGCTTTGGCGCTGCGCTGAAAAGTTTGGCACCAACGCCAGTGCAGCCGACTCCGTCGGGGAAAGTTAGGGGAGAATTCCTTGCCATGTCAACTCGTATGCACATTTGCAGCTACTCTTCATGGCAACCTTGTCGACTTGCGCAATTTACAACGCATCACCGCAGATACAGTTGTCTAGGGGTGTTCAAAGTCAGATCCCTAGACTACAAACCCCTTGCATTCAATTCTCCACCGCAACATCAAAAGCACCTACCGAAAGGGAACACTAACTCGGCCTGGCCAACCTCTTTGATCTGATGCCTCTGCAGATCCAATCGCATCACCTAACGGCAGATCGCCACGACTCAGTTACTCGAACCCAAGTGCTCTTGTGCAAGGTACAGAGACCTGTTCTGCTGGGCTATGCCGGGAACCTAATCGAGTTTTTGTTTTCAGGGGAGGTGGTCGGCGGGAGAAACTGGTGGGTGTTGTAACCCTGGGGCTCTGTTTATGTGCTCAACACGCATGCCGTTGGTCGTGCCCCTTTCTTTGGGCGTGGTGGATTCGTGGGTATCCACGGTGTGCGCATGCCCGCAAGCCATGTCTTTGTTGTCCAAACTGTTCAGATAGCAAGAGCCGTTGTTTTGTGATGCATCTGGACCTGCTGACTGTGAAAGCTCTGTTACCAGCGCTGCATTTGTTTCAGAATTTCGTGACCAAGTAATTGAATTTTGTGAAAAGTCCACCACAGCAGACAGCTAGATGGCTGGAGACAGAAACTGTGTTTGGACACCAAATTCATCGATTAAGTGTGCCAAAAAGAGAACTTGGGTGCGGTGAAGTGGCCTCCCCAAATGGTGTGAGGGTGCTGGACATGCACAAAGTAGTCTGCACCCCGGGGTTGGCTAATCGCAATTGCAGTTAAGTGCAATGCAGTCCTCGCTTCCGTCAGGTCGTCACGTTCTTGTCTGACGAGGTGGATGGGGGCGCCAAATAAATGGAATCGGCGCTTCTTGGCCCTTGGCCCCCCGTGCGCCAAGCCCCTTGCAAGGACCCAATTGGGTCCACCCTCATTAAACCTGTAATCTCTTCCTGCCCAAATGCAACAGCGTTATCGATGGGTATCGTAAATTGCGGACAGTAACTGCATGAACAGCGCGAGCGTCTTGGTGGCAGGAATGATATTGCTTGATACACGCAGGGCACATCCCAACAGACCCAATCAGCGTGTAAAGCAGTTCTCTCAAGTGGATGATGCAAGAAAGTCAACGAACTGATGCTCCTCAATACACCCAAGACCTCATTGTTAAGCCAGTCCCCAGACCACATCACTACCGCCATCACCACGCAACCCCCACCATCCCCAAACTCACGCGAGTTGCTGCAACATCGCGCATACATGCATTGCGTGTGTGCTGCCAATATACATCCACAATGTACGGTAAATCCCTCAAAATTTAGGAAACGGAAAGTATTTCGTCCCTTGTTAAGCTACGAAAAGCCTTTTTGCCTGATACGAGCATGGGCCCTTCACCTGTCAATAGCAGATGCAGCTCTACCTCTAATTCGGGTTTCACGAGTGTTTCCCCCTCCCTAAAAACAACTACTAATGAGCAGAACACTAGGGTCACTGCCCTTAACGGGCACAAAGTTAATTCCAATTATGAACACAGCATCAGATTCTCCAGGGCACAGCAGCTCTTGCGACCAGGTAGAAACTAGAAAAGGTGGTTT